ACACTGTAACACATAAAAACCTGCAATATCAGAGACTACACAGTTGAAATGACAAGACTCCATGGCTCTCCTATTCTACCCCAAATCCACACTCTCTTTAGGTTCATGGGTTCAGTCCTTCTCAACATCCCCCCTTCCAAAATAAAAATAAAAAAAAAATAAAAAAACCCCACAGATTGTGCAGAGCAGAGCTGTCTTTAACACTAGATGTTTACCTTTCTGTAAGATGATCTGTTCATTACTGACGTTTGTATTTGATCAATCTGATCAATTTATCTTTAAAGCACTTTCAGCTACTAAATTATGTCATGAATGCTATAATCAAGAATTTCTCCATTGACTCAGATTAGAGTTACTAATGTAACATCTTGAATCATTCACCCGCCTCCCTCTTCAGCTTTCTTCCAATCACGGACCATCTTGTATGTGAGCGGCTGGTATTTTAGCACTGGAAATGCACAAGCAGGCACAATCCACATTTGCACTGGCAGAAAGTAATGTAACATAAAGCAGATATATACATCAAGGCAGGCTCCAATGTGGACTCCGAAATCACATCACAGAGGGAAATAGGCCATGAGCTCAGAAATGCCTAGTCTGCAATCCTGCTTCTACTCGGGACCTCGGCTTCCTCACATGTGAAGTTAGAGAAGTAAAGCGAGCATTTAGCACAGTGCACACCATACACAGTAGTTACCACCACCATCACCAGCCTCACCACCACAGGCGGGCCCGTAATAAAGAATTGGGACTAGTCACCATCTTCCCCTCACCCTCTCTTTTATAAAAGCTTTACTGAGATATAATTTACATACCATAAAATCTATCTTTTTAAAGTATCTCATTCAGTGGTTTCTAGTATATTCACAGAATTGAATGACCAGCACCACGGTTTTAAGTTCCAGAACAGTTTCATCACCCCCAAGGAAGTACCATACCCATTAGCAGTCACTCCCTAATACTCACTCCCCCAGCCCCTGGCAACAACTAATCTATTTTCAGTGTCTGTGGATTTGCCCCTGCCTGACATTATAAATGGGATGATACTGTGTCTGGCCTCCTTCACTTAGCATAGTATTTTCCAGGTTCATCCACATTTGAGCATTAATCAGTACTTCCTTCTTATGGCTGAATAATATTCCACTGTATGCATATGTCACATCATGTTTATTCATTCATAAAGCCGATGGACATTCGGGTTGTTTCCATTTGAGGGCTATAATGAATAATCCGGTTATGAACACCTCAGAGTTTTTGTGCTTTAACATATGTTTTCCTTCCTCCTGACTATACCCTAGGAGTGGAATAGCTAAGTCATGTGGTAACTCTGTTAAACTATTTGAGCAAATGCTTTGTTTTCCAAAGCAGCTGTACCATTTTATATCACCACATGCAGTATATAACAGTTCCAATTTTTCCACATCCTTGCCAACACTTGTTATTATCGATTTTTTAAACTACAGCCATCCTAGCATGTGTTAAGTATACTTCATTGTGGTTTTGATTTGCATTTTCCTGATGGTTAACAATGTTCAGCATCTTTTCATGTGCTAACTGGCAATTTATACAACTTCTTTGTAGAAATGTCTCTTCTGATCCTTTGCCCATTTTTAAAATGGGCTGTCTTTCCATTCTTGAGTTTTAAGATTTCTTTATATATTCTGGATACTAGTCCCTTCTGAACTGTATGACCTGCACATATTTTCTCCCATTCTTTCAATTCCCTTTTCACTTTGTTGATGGTGTCAAAAAGTTTTGATTGAAGCACATAAAATTTTAATTTGGATGACATTAAATTGACCTATTTTTTTTCTTTTGCTGCTCATGCCTTTAGTGTCACATCTAAGAGTCAATTGCCTAATCCAAGGTTATGAAATTTTACTTCTAGTTATACAGTTTTAGCTCTTACCCTATGTCTATACCCCATTTTGAGTTAATTTTTGTATATTCATATGGAGTAGAGGTCCAACTTCATTTATTCTGCATTTGTATATCCTGTTGTCCCACACCATCTGCTGAAGAGACTAATTCTTTCCTCTTCTGCACTGTCTTGTCATTCCTCTCTCTTAAATCCACATTCAGAGAATTTCACTCTTGTTAGATACACATCCCTCTGATCTTACTACTTTTCCAACTATCAGGTATTTTGTTCTCCACTTGAACCTCCAAATCTTCAAAGCAAATCTATGCTATATTCACTTTATGTCAGCTTGGCCTGTCGCTTACATTTAAAAACATTTATCAAGTACCTACTATTATGCACCAGGCAGTATTCTAGATTCTCAAGATATAATACCAACGAGGCACTAAGCGTTCTTGAGGATGGTTATAAAATTGTATTGTACCTCATGCTGGAGATGGAAACAAAGCACCAAAGATGCTGAAAAAAACAGAACTACCATTTCTGTGTTGGAGGTTCTTGAAAGGGTCACACTGAGGGGGGCCATCTGAATGAGAAGAATGCACTGTTAGACAAAGAGCTCTAGAGTATTCCAAGAAGAGGGAAATAATGGGCACAAAAGTATGTAGTTGAGAAAAGGCCAGATATATCCAAGGGACAGAAGCTTAAGGTGGTAACAATGTAGGCCAACAGGAAAAGGTGACCCTTGAAAAGAGAGCAAAGTTAACTATTAAAAATCCATCCACCACACTAGAGAACTTGAACTCTGCTTTGATGCGACATACACCCAACTCTAGATCTGAACGAGGGAGTCACATATATTTGAGGGAAAGAACTGTGGGGATACAAAGCAGAATTGATATGCATAGGGACAGACTAGTGTTGGGCACTTCTCAAATACGTCCAGCTGGGAGGAGAATATGTGTGTGTGTGTGTGTGCGTGTGTGTGTGTGTGTGTGTGTGTGTGAGACTCTTCCCACAACTCCATGACAACACGTACTTTGCTTCTTAGATCTCTTGATGATAACAGGTCTCCTAAGACATTTTGCACTTGGTTCCACCCTCCTCGTTTCTTTGAAGGATACATGCCATGAGCTTTAAAAAGATGTTGTACAAGCATTCTACCAGTTTCTCAATTTTCTTCCATATTAATAATCCGTTTTACTCAGACACTTCACTGTCGGATATCATTAAAGAGAGTGCTACCACTGAAGGTCATTTAACTCTGGGCCCATCCTCCAATCCAGGAGCCCATCTAAATGAAGTTGAAGACATGCCTTACAGACGGCTTTTTTCTCTTTCTCCACTCAGAATCCAAATTATTCCATTTCTACTCTTCTTCCAATATCCTCTAGTATTTTCTGCCACAATTCTCAGTGAAGAAAGTGCTTCGCTATGTTTCCATCAACGGTCTTACAAAAGTGAGTTTACAGCTCTGCTATTAATCCTTCTACTTGGATTTTCTACAGAAGTTTTTATAGAATCAGACATATACGCCAGTATAAGCTTCTCTATTTTTCCTAGGACTCCCAATAAATGTTTTGCGATTAGTGCAACCCCAGCATCACCACCAGCAAGAAAAAGCCCACTGCAGCTTCTCTTCACTCGAATGCCCCAACTCTCTAACTGCTGCTATTCCTTAAATGCGCCGTTAGTATAAAAGGAGGTGCTATTTCTGCTCTCACAATTGTGAGAACTGTACTCGGTTCAATGGAATGAAACACTTCCTCAAAATGAGCAGGAGACATAATGACATTCTACATTTCTTGTTCTTTTCTGTTAACTGACTGGTGACGTGAACATGATCCATCATCACGTGTCCTGGCTGGAAGGGCCTGCTCTGCACCTTTCCTCCTCCCAGTGATTCTTATTTACAAAGACTTGTGTAAAACAAGTCATTTATTTGCAACACTGGGGAGACTGGCCAACATTTTGACTACTCAAAAAAAAACAGGTCAAATTGGCTCACGTAAAAGTAAGGATGGAAAAAATGAAATTACAGTGGCTGCACTATGGCTCAGACAGTGAAGAAATGGCTAAGTTTTAACATCACAGGAGGATAAATCTTTGATTCCTGCCTGTACTTTAGCAATTTTCCGATGCAGCTGCCAATTTTTTTTTCACCCTAGCAAAATCATTAAAAACTGAAAATTATAGATTTTTAAACCACTTCAAAAGCGGACAGAGGGATGGAGAAAGAATAGAAAGGAAAAAACTCCAGAAGGATAATCCAAAAAATGTTAATGCAATGATTATCTTCTGTGGGCAGTAATATAATTTTTTCTCTATTCTGTCTTTTCTGATTTTTTTCTAAGGAGAATAGAATGCTCTTATAATCACAACAAAAGAACAAAATGGGCAGAGAGGAAAAAAAAAAAAAAAAAAAAAGCAAGCAATTAGGCACTTGGAAAGGAAGCTGTCCAGGGAGAGGGGCAGGGAGTGCTCATCCTGCACTGAGCACAGGACAAAATGAAAGTAACATACAGACATCCACATTCCAGGACCCTGAACACTGTAAATCTTGTCTAGTTTATCCTTTAACACTTTTTTTTAATCCTTCCAGCGTACCCCTGAAATTGCTTTTACTTTTTTAATTGCTATTGCTGTTTTCTTAAGAAAAAAGTCAAATTTCAGAGAATTTAAGTATAAACAGCCAAGTTCTCATATCATACTCAGCAATTCACAAAGCCCAAGTGCAGCCACAATACAGAGAAATGGGACTCCGATAATAAAGGGCCATCCCTATTTGCTTTAACAATGTCTCTTTTGGTATTTTTACCAATTAAGTCTACAAATCCTTTTTTTTTTTTCCCAGCAAACTGTGGTACAGATGGAAGGAAATCTCTATGGCACAACCAAGTGTGAACACACCTTGGCTGAAGACTGCCTGATAGCCCTCCTGTGCTTCTCTCCCTCTGGCTCTCTGGCAAGTCAAGAAGCAAGACTTGGGAAGGACCATGCGGCGCTACCAAAATGATGACAACTCTCACATTACCCTAACTCAATTAATCTTGGAATAAATTTTTGAAGCCTCAGCATATATTCTCTTGGAACAACAACAGTGCCCATAATGAGTGGAGAAACCTGCCCGGTGGTTTACCTGTGAGATATAACCTGGAGGCACATGGATGGGAGGAATGGATCCATTGGGTGACATCATGGGAACTTCAGCAGGTCCTATGAGAGACAAGAGTTAGATATTAACCGTTGAAGACATACACATTATTCAAAATAATTATTGGTATTTTTAAAATTAATGTATTATCAAAAATGAAGAGAATTACTTTGACTATTTTCTCTTCAATTAATTGGTACATCATGCCTAAGAGTTGAAATCATGGATGAAAAAGAATTCTCCAGCTGTATAAGCCAAGGGTAAAAAAAACCAAAACCAAAACAAACAAACAAAAAAACAAAACAACACAAAACTATGAGCATCTTGATAAATATTTAATGATTCCCAAAGCCTCAAGTTCCATAAACCAAGGCTGCTTGGTTAAGAGTCACCTAACAAAGTAGGGCAAAATGGTTGGGGTTTTTTTTGCCTTTAAAAGAATGTATTATTAATAAATGATTAAACAAATAAATGTTTAAATATGTCCATCTCCTCTGGTTTAAAAAGCTCCTATATACCTTGGGTTTATAATTTTCATTTTCACTTCAATTATCATTTTTAATAAGTTACTATAACATACCAATTATTTCAAACAGAAGAAACCTTTAAAATATTCCAAATGAATTTGGTATGCGTCTTATGTTATAAGGCAGGGGAAAAAATAGATAATAATTTTCAAACTAGGCATAATTAGGAAGACTCGTGTCAAATTTACCTGGATTATTTCAAAGTAAAGCATTCAATTAACAAGGTGTTAGTTTCAAAATATTAAGTTCAATAAATGTTAATCACATGTCTACAGCAAACAAAGAATAGCAAGGCAACACTCAGTTACCTAAGACATAGTTTGAGTTAATATTTAATTACAAAGAAACTGATCATCATAACATTAAAATCAACTCCTAACACCCTTCCAATGATCCTATGATTAAATGGTTTCCCTAGAAGTGCAAGAAGCTCACGGTCACTGGGTTTCAGTTTGGTACCTGGCTCCCCTAGTTAGCAACCCCTGCCCCAATGTCAATCCAAAGCTGTGTTTCTAGTCTGGGATGCGACTTCCTGGCTCCAAGTGCCTTGTGTTGTTTATTTGCTTTCTCCTAATGTGTGTTGTGCTGCCGGCCATTAAAATTGTTTGGCTGTAACAAAAACCAAGAAAAACACAACACTTTCCTTGGCAAAAGAAGACAGATCCCTCCACCCATAAAAACAACCCATAAAAACAACACGTATATTGCTGCATTTACATTGTCAGCATAAGGTACCTTTCACCTCAGAGTACAATTCAGTGTTCTAATACGTCGCAGGAGAGGACCAGTGCGGGGTATAGAGGGACAAGGATACTGGGTGCCTATCAGCAGGTCTTCAAGTACAGGGGAAAAAAAAAAACAGGGGCAGGGCAGAAAAGATGCTAATATTCCTGTAAAACTCCATATGACCAGAGTTCACTCCAACTCCATGGACAATATACCAAGACAGCTAAACCGTCTGATAGGCTCTAACACGTACAAAACCACAGCAGTTGCTCACAGGCTCACACACTGGTAATCAATTAAAGCAGATGACAACAACAGCATGAGAGGGGGTAACTGCATGACCCCATTCCATTTTGAAGTAGGATTTAAACTGATACATCCACCAGCCACTGAAGGCACTTTCCAAATCATCTTCCAAATCCATCCTTCTCGTCAGCTTCAGCATTTTGGCCATAGCCATCAAGACATTAGGTATTTACTAAATATTTTTACTCGATTTGACCCACCTACCAAAAAAAAAAAAAAAAAAAAAATCACAGGCAAGTATATCAGCCTTAGCCTGAGCACTCTCTGTGAAACCCGAGGGTCAATGCACTCAGCTCTGTAAGCAAGCGTCAAAACCATGGCTTCTGCCTGGGTTTCAGCCCCTAGCTCACTATCCATGCTGGTTGTGTGACCTCAGACCATTCAGTTAGACTTTCTGAGCCTCGGTTCCCAATAGGCGCACATGAGAATAACAATTCTTACCTCTCCAAATTGGGTTTAACTTCAATAATCCATGCAAAGGTGCTTAGAGCACTGCACAGCACAATAATCGCTCATCAAAATGTTAATGATCGCTGCGATTTTTTTTCATTTTATTCATAACTTGTTGCTTTTTCTTGTTTGTTACAATTACATGGAGTACAATTTTTTTTTTTAATAGTTCATGTTCCTGTAACCCATAAAAACAACACGTATATTCTTTGGACAATATTGACCTAAGAGGCAAACCTTGCTCGTGGGATAAACGCAGTACAGACTATGAACAGAAATGCTACCATCTCCATAAAGTATTGCTTTTTAATCACCGAAATATATACCAGGCAAACAGTCTCTTAACCCCAGGCATGACCCCTAAAACTGTTAAAGTCATTTGTATAAAATGCTTTAAAGCATGTAGGACAAGTAAGTGATTTACAGCCAGAAAATGTTTTCTTCCTGGCCTTGATTTCAAATGTAGCCAAATGACTTTAACATGTTTGTTTCCCCTTCCTCTTGTCACTGTCATCAAACCCTATCAAAGGGAGTTGTGAAACTCAACTGTGCCTTGGAATCCTAAGTTCCTCTCCCTTCTGAAATAAACCACTGCACTCACAGGCATTTAGAAGTGCAAAAGCTAGCAAAATGAAATCCATTCACAATGGTGCTATGAGAAGTTACCCTTCCTCTAAATACTTCCCAATCAGTGAGTTTACTGCCTCTGCTCAACTGTTTGTGTTTGAGAAGCTCCTGATCTTATTACAACCCTTCCCTAATTAAAACAAACTTCTCTTCCTAAACTTCTAGGGCTACTAGGTTTCTTTTGATTTTTTAATCAATACCCTTTAATCAACACACAAGACTTAAATGATAAGACTCTTAGAATATGGTGAAAATGCTCTCTTCGTGTTCAAACTAACACTGGATATATGAGGCGGGGAAGCCACATTATTTTCTCAAACAAGCCAACCTCCTCTCTGACTTTACTGGGAAATCATTGAACTATTAAACATTTTTGGGGGGAAAAAACCACCTTTAAACCTCTGAGGTATTTGGAACCCCCTTTAATTAAACACTCGTGTTACATATAGGTAGGTCTACACAGATAGATGTATACATAGATTAAATAATTTGAAAACAAAAGTAAATAAACATATACTTCCACACTGTAGTCAGATTTCTTTTTGAGAAAGTAATTAAGAAGCAAGCTCAGCTAGAGACCACATGAACTCTTCCATAGACAGATGAAAAATGTCACATGCATGATTTTTAGAATGGAAGTAGAATGTTTGCTAAGAGCCAAGTAACTCCATGAAAAAAATGCCTTGAGAAATTTCATCAATTTCAGGTTTTAGCCTATGACTTCAAATGTCAAGAATTCCTTTTTTTCACTGAACAAGATGTGAGACACAAACAAGAACTATGACTTTACAGTCATTAAAAAATTTAACTGCAATATACAAGTACATGGTCTAACATCTTAAAAGTCCACTAGCATTTGTTAATGAATTGATTTTTCATTTGCTTATAGCAAACCTTGAACAAGAAAGGTTGGAGAGCAGTTTAGTCAATGAACAGTAATTCCTGCAAAGATGCTAGGACTTTACTCCCACATCAAAGAGACTGAGGGAAGCCCAGCAGTGTTGTATTATTAGGACCACACATGTCCGTGGAGAGCTTCTGAGCCCCTGCCAGGGCTGTGAGTGAGGACATTCTGCTTCACTCTGGGCTTCCTCCTGCTACCAGTGACCCCCAGAGCTCACACACGTAGATAATCCATGCTCTGATACTAAACTCAGAATATTCACCTATTCTGGGGGTAAGGTTAACTGGATTGACTTGAGGTGAGTGTACAAAGGAGGGTCAGAAATCTGAAAGTGGTGGAAAATTGGAATATAGGGTATAAATTACCATTTAAACTAGCTTTAGAAAAAGACCAGCTATAAATAATTACACCACAATTTTATACAATTTTAAATGGTATTTTTAAAAGCTGAGTATTCACCAATAGGTAAACAAGTAGTGAATAAACGGAATGTATTAGTACACTTGTCTACAAACGGGGACTTACGTGTCCAAATGGCTATTTGTACAACAAAAGCCTTATTATAGCAATGGATCACATTCTTACCTTGATACTTAAATATTATCTTATTCAAAAAAGATGTAAAGGGGCTCAGATGACAACACTGCAAGATAAAAGAAACTGAGAAAAATAAAGCAAAGGCAAAATAATGATGTGACAAAAATCCAATAAACCCTGTAAAAAGTGACCATTTTGTCTTTCTAAACAGCCAAAAGAGACATTCTTGCCGGCACTAGCAGTCCTAAGCGTAAGTCCATAGCTAGCAGGTAAGCAGGTAATTAAGTGAAAGTAATTATCAGAACAAATGGTCTAAATAAAAGTTCCCTTGTGCTGTTTGCCATGGATCTAAGACTGAATATGAAATGTGAGGTTTTCTGATCAATCTGGTGAATAACTAATAATGAATCTCCAATTATTTATGGTGACTCAAGACATGTAGACAAGCTAAGAGACTGTGTAGGCACTTTGGGAAACTGACATTCTTCTTAATTTTTTTAAAATTATTCAACACTGACTCATCTCACAAAAGAGCTAAAAAGAATATAAAGAAATAAAGCAGGTCCTCAAAACACAGGTCCTGACCTCAAAGAAATTTAACATCTAGTGCAATGGTTCTTAAACTTTAGTATATACCAGAATCACCAGGAGGGTTTCTTAAAATCTGGACTGCTAAATTCTACTTCCCACAGTTTCAGAATCAGAAAGTCTGGGGCAGGTCCCAATTATTAGCATTTCTGGCAAGTTTTCAGGTGATATACTCGCTGCTGTCCAAAGGGCCACACTTTGATAACCTCTGACTTGGGGGGTTACAAGATGATAAGCATCCATCACTAACATCATACTCAATAAGTAAAGAAATCTTTCCCCCTAACATCAGGAACAAGACAAGAATGCTCACTTTCACCACCAATCGTCAATGGAACAACTGGGGGGGGGGGAAGGAGGAGGCATCCAAATTGTAAAGGAAGAAGTAAAATTATAT